AAAGCTGAAGGTTCACGATCTACTTTTGAAAGCTTGTAGTATGCGATTATTACCTGTGCAAACAACACGGCCTTGCGCAGCAGCTGATCTGAACTTGCAGAACTTGTAAAGAATGACGCTCTGCCAACAACTGCTAAACTTTGAAACGGCTTCTTGAGTGCCTTTAAGTTTCAATTTTTTCAAATCACTTCAAACAATACTTTCACATAAGAAACAGTAACGCCACATTTCCATTGCTTTGAAAAATGATATCAAGCTGTTTTCAGAATGGTCAAAAAGTGGGCATTGTCAGGATCGTTCCTCAAGAAAAATTGGAAAAAGTCGAAATTGTTCCAGCAACGCGCCTCCAGCAAGGAGCACAAACAAAGTTAAAGGTTGTGTGCTTATATAGGAAAAGAATATCTCAATAAGTCCTTTATTTGTAGCTGGTATACGCAGGACTAATCAGTAATAAGCTTGGAGGACTTTATCAAACAACCTATACAGAGAATGATGGCAGCAAAAAGTGGGTTTCTTCCTGATAGACTAGAAAACCAATACAGCTATTAAGGGTGGCTGCTGTAACTCAAATGGAGCCCATAGATGCTCGCAGCATGGTTCCATGTTTTGATGAACCCGAATTCAAGGCTACGTGGAACGTGACCGTGATCCATCCTAGAGGGACGAAAGCAATCTCAAATGGGATTGAAGAACAAGAGTGAGCGTCTTGCTTTCACATATCTACTCAAGTATTAATACGTGCACAAAATAACTTCGCTTTTCTCATATGAGCGTAACATCCAGCAGAAGTACCTTCAGGAGTTTTTCACTGCATTCGATACAATGCAGCCTTTAATCCTCTTTCGAATGCTGATTCTCTGAATCCTTATGCGAATCCTCGGAGGAGTCCAAGTGACGGACACTAGACTCAACTCTATAAGACGCGAAACATTTTTTCCTTTTTTTTATGCTTCAGAAGTTTCAAAATTAAACCATATAAATCAAGTCCATATCTGGTCGACTTGAACTTCATAACGCATCGACCGGAGGATGAGTGGCGTGGTGGTTCGAGGTGCCGCTATGACCAAATCGGACCTAGGTCTCCAATTCCGCCGCTGGGCCAGCAAACCCTGTAATCTCCGGAACCGATCATTGTCAACTGGACCCCGCAAGTCACTGCAGAAGGCTAGCGCGCATAGAACTGCCTCTCGACTATGAAATAGCGTGTGTTCGGTTCATGCCCGCAGAGGGTATTAAGACACATCGTTTATCCTTTTTTATCCTTTAACGCACCAAACAGCGAGCAACTCCCTTGTTATTCAATACAGCTCATTCTCCTTTTTAAGATCTTTTTAATTTCCGATTCTTCAAGCCTTAGGCACTCGCCATACTTAATCTGCTTAATCCACTTGATCCGCTTGATCCGCTTCGTCA